ATATAAACAGAAAACCAAAACAAATGGAAGAAACTCAAATCACATGTTTTATTTACAGTGTGGGGTGAAAATAGATAAGTGAGTACATTACGTATTTTTGGTCGAGTTTCGACCACTGGACGACCTCTCGTACTTATTTAATACGCAAGCACGTTTTTTGTGACAATTACTCCTCCGAAACTACTGAACCGATTGACATGTTTTTGGTGTCATTGGAAAGAGCGTAACGTGAAGTTGTGCAGGAAACTTTCTTTTTAAGGAAATAATTAGAGAGTGAGGCCCTGGGGCCCTTTAAAGATTCGTATTTCTCCATAAGGATAACATGGGAGATAATTTTTATTTACAGAAACATATGTTTGTTACTTTAAAATAGTCAAAGTCTACTACATAATAATTGCTGTGTATTATGACTGTTAATGTATACTAAATTTCAATCAATGATTAAGTACCTTAAAGTTTACTCATAATGGATCTTACTACTTTATTTTTAATGCTGGGAATAGTAAAATTCAGTAGAGACTAAGTTACCATGATTTAGAAATCTTTACTATAAAAATTTATGTATGTAAAATCATAAATCTTTGACATTCTTAATTCATTAGAAACGAAACAGCTGATCGAGAAATCAAACAAATCATCTACTTCGTGTGAATAATGTTTTTACACAAACATCGTTATTTTTTACCAATAACTTGATTCTCTTTTACTTGTGGGTGTATTTTGAGTTTGGAGTTATGAAAGTACCAAGCCAAGTAACTTTTATCTAATTTTCTTTATAAACTAACAGTGTTAATGAATTACTACATGAACTTGACAAGTCCGGTAATTAATTGTCAGTTTACCAAGGGGAAGAAGAGTGGGTCCTTGAAAACAGACGAAGGCGGAGACACCCATCTAGAAAATCGAACTGAAAATATAGAGGTCAGTGGATTGCCAAGACACAGATTATACTAATAAAAGGGGGCAGTGGTTTTATTGATATTAAAACATCAAAAAGGGCCTCATAAAAAGGCACAAGACTTCATGTGATCAGAATGGTTAACAACAATGTAAAGTAAGTCCTAACTGGAACAAATGGGTAGGGACATATTTTGATTTCGAGGATACAAATTTGCCCATCTGATACAAACTTACCTTTTAAAATGGAAATATGCAAATTTCTGTTATCTTTGGCATTTGCAGCACAAGCGCTTTAATTAAAGAGCAGCACTCTTCATAGCCAGACCAATTTCACTCATGAGCAACTATATATACGTTGTTTTAAGTGAGGCTACATCTTTTAATAGGATACGCATTATCATTACGGAAAATTCTGACCAGGGTAATATTCCTGAAGGTAGCTTAAATACTAAAATCGTAGTATTCATGGAAATGCTTTGTGATAAAAATATTGTTTTTTAGTGTTTATTTTTAAAGGTGTTTTATTCAAGCAGCATTTTATGACCCTCAAAATATGCTACATACTACATAGGCCTATTGGTTTGATATAATCAAATGTTTTGTTAAATGTGTTTTTTTTCTTAAAAAATAACTACTCCATAACATACTTGAACACTTATTAATTTACTAAATATAATATGCATAAAGCTAGAAAATGGCTGGACTGCTTCCCTTCTAAGGTTTTATTATTACTGTATTTAATTTTCGACGTCGAGTCAATATATAACAAGATGAATTTGTTTTCTAAATTCATATGTTTTTGCGGGGCATTGAGCCGCACAGGTTCACTAGTTACTTATTTAATACGCAATTATGATTTTTGTGACAATTACTCCTCCGAAACTACTGAACCGATTGACATGTTTTTGGTGTCATTGGAAAGAGCTTAACGTGAAGTTGTGCAGGAAACTTTCTTTTTAGTGAAATAATCAGAGAGTGAGGCCCTAGGGCCCTTTAAAGTTTCGTATTCCTCCATAAGATTAACATGGGAAACAAAAATTGTTATGCAACTCCAGCTGTGGGCAGAAATTAAAATTGAGAAGAAGAACATATGTTAATTTTGAACAGTCAATAAGTTTGCTAATTTAACAGTTAGTTTGCTACAAACATTACTGACTTGGTTGAAATGAAATACATATTTACTATTTTGAATTTAGGTTGGCGTAAATATTACAATGGAAAAAAGCGAGAGAACCTGGTTAAATTGATATATTCTGTTATGTAGATCTTGAATATTTCCATAATCTTAGGGTCGAATCTTTTAAAAATATCAGAAATGATGACCGTTATTACTTTTAAAATAACGCCTCTAATACTTAGAAATTGCTCGAATTCGAGCAACAGGGACACTAGTACTTATTTAATACGCAAGCAGGTTTTTTGTGACAATTACTCCTCCGAAACTACTGAACCGATTGACATGTTTTTGGTGTCATTGGAAAGAGCGTAACGTGAAGTTGTGCAGGAAACTTTCTTTGTAGGGGAATAATTAGAGAGTGAGGCCCTGGGGCCCGTTTCGTATTTCTCCATATGATTAACATGGGAAACAAACATTGTTATGAAACTCCAGTTGTTGTCAGAAATTATAAGTGAAAAGAAGAACATATGTTAATTGTAAACAGTCAATAAGTTTGCTAATTTAACAGTTTGCTACAAGAATTTACTGACTTGGTTGAAATGAAATATTTACTGTTTGAATTTGGGTTGGTGTAAATATTACAATGGAAAAAGCGAGAGAGCCTGGATAAATTGATATACTAAAAATAAAACTGAATTAACACTGTGCTGCATTTTTTAGTAATCATTGAAAGAGCCGATTTGCAAACCATGGAAACATAGGAAAGTCCTAGAACACCACCAAGGAGAAGAAATAGAATTAATGTTGTTTTTATTTTTAATTTATAATCGTTATTATGGACAACCTAATGCGGCTATGAGTAAGGCTATATGTAGAAAACACTAAAAAACAAGATCAGCTTTTGAAAAATGATAAGATATTTACAAGAAATGTTGAATATATCGATCTGTTATGTACATCTTGAGTATTTCCATAATCTTTGGGTCGAATCTTTTAAAGTCAACAGAAATTATGACTGTTATTCGTTTTTAAATAACGCAGCTGTAATACTAAGCAATTGCTCGAATTCGAGCAACAGGGACACTAGTACTTATTTAATACGCAAGCAGGATTTTTGTGACAATTACTCCTCCGAAACTACTGAACCGATTTACATGTTCTTGGTGTCATTGGAAAGAGCGTACCGTGAAGTTGTGCAGGAAACTTTCTTTTTAAGGAAATAATTAGAGGGTGAGGCCCTGGAGCCCTTTACAGTTTTGTATTTCTCCATAAGATTAACATGGGAAACAAATATTGTTATGAAACTCCAGCTGTTGTCAGAAATTAAAAGTGAGAAGAAGGACATATGTTAATTGTAAACACAGTCAATCAGTTTGCTAATTTAACGGTTAGTTTGCTACAAACATTTACTTACTTGGTTGAAATGAATTACTATTTGAATTTGGGTTAGCCTGGATAAATGGTTATACTAAAAATAAAACTGAATTAACACTGTGCTGCATTTCTTAGTAATCATTGAAAGAGCCGATTTGAAAACTATGGAAACATAAAAAAGTCATAAAACACCACCAAGGAGAAGAAATAGGAATAATGTGTGTTTTGTTTTATATATAATCGTTATTATGGACTACCTAATGCGGCTATGAGTAAGGCTATATGTAGAAAACACTAAAAAAAATCTGCTTTTGAAAAATGATAAGATATTTTTACAAAAAATGTTCCATAATCTTTGAGTCGAATCTTTTAAAGTCACCAAAAATTATTACTGTTATTTGTTTTAAAATAACGCCTGTAATACTTAGAAATTGCTCGATTTCGAGCAACAGGGACACTAGTACTTATTTAATACGCAAGCAGGTTTTTTGTGACAATTACTCCTCCGATCCGAAACTACTGAACCGATTGTCATGTTTTTGGTGTCATTGGAAAGAACGTAACGTGTAGTTGTGCAGGAAACTTTCTTTTTAGGCAAATAATTAGTGAGTGAGGCCCTAGGGCCCTTTTAATTTTCATATTTCTCCATAAGATTAACACGGGAAACAAAAATAATTATGAAACTCCTGCTGTTATCAGAATTTAAAAGTGAGAAGAAAATCATATGTTAATAATTGTAAACAGTCAATAAGTTTGCTAATTTAACAGTTTGCTACAAGAATTTACTGACTTGGTTGAAATGAAATATTTACTATTTGAATTTGGGTTGGCGTAAATATTAGAATGGAAAAAAGCGAGAGAGCCTGTATAATTTTATATACTAAAAAGAAAACTGAATTAACACTGTGCTGCATTTTTTAGTAATCATTGAAAGAGCCGATTTGCAAACCATGGAAACATAGGAAAGTCCTAGAACACCACCAAGGAGAAGAAATAGAATTAATGTTGTTTTTATTTTTAATTTATAATCGTTATTATGGACAACCTAATGCGGCTATGAGTAAGGCTATATGTAGAAAACACTAAAAAACAAGATCAGCTTTTGAAAAATGATAAGATATTTACAAGAAATGTTGACTATATTGATCTGTTATGTACATCTGGAGTATTTCCATGATCTTTGAGTCGAATCTTTTAAAGTCATCATAAATTATGACTGTTATCGTTTTAAAATAACGCCTGTAATACTTAGCAATTGCTCGAATTCGAGCAACAGGGACACTAGTTATTAAAAAATACGCAAATATACAAATATACATTAGCTGCCTCCAAAACAAAACAGCTGTTACAACCGTACTTGAGATGTTGCCACCTTGAAGGCCGCGGCCTGGAGTTAAAGGTGGCCGTGTATAGTCACGATAATCTAAACATGTTCGATACTTTTCCTAAATGTTGGCTATTCTAAGATTATTTTAATTTTATTTACGGTTTTATGGTTTCTGCCTGATTCAATCAAAGTTCAATTCAGGTGGCAGAGTCGCAATGACCAAGAGAAAAGAATAGTGAGCCTGCGCAGCCTGTCTGTCTCTGTCTGTCTGTCTAATGGAAAGTTCGTTTGCCAATGACGTGCTGTCTGCTGTGTTTCCAATCCTAACCAAAATAACTTAACCTAGAATGTAACTGGGACCGCCCGTATATCTACATTTATATTTTTAGAACGTTTGTGATAAAAGTTTTGTAAAGTGCAGTGATGGCCCCAAATAAGAAACAAAAATCTTCATCTCTCAATGATTTTTTCTCACGATTTAAAGTCTCATGGAAGAAATGTTGTTCTTGGAACTATGCAATATCATTACTACTAGATCCACGAAATTTTCTGATCGTATCTGTGCTATTATTCATTTTTGAAATATTAGTCAATCTAATAGTAATAAGACACGTAAAGTACACTGAAATTGACTGGGTTGCTTATATGCAGGAAGTTGAAGGTGTAATAAATGGGACTCTTGACTACAGCAAACTGAAAGGTGATACTGGACCTTTGGTGTACCCAGCAGGTTTTGTTTATTTTTTTGGACTATTGTATTTTTTGACAGAACATGGTACAAATATTAGACTCGCTCAGTACATTTTTGCTGCTTTTTACTTAATCTTATTAGCGTTAGTATTTCGTATCTACTACAAAACCAAGAAAGTGCCTCCCTATGCTATACTCCTTGCATGTTGTACTTCGTACAGGATTCATTCCATATTTGTACTTCGAATGTTCAATGATGGTGTTGCGGTCATGCTTGTTTTTGCCGCTTTAAACTTATTCCTGGACAATAGATGGACCCTAGGAAGCATATTCTACAGCCTTGCTGTATCCGTAAAAATGAACATTCTATTGTTTGCCCCGGCTTTACTAATAGCTTATTACTTTTCTCTTGGTGTAAAAGGAACAATCAAACAACTTACCATTTGTGGCTTCATTCAAGTGTTATTGGGATTACCTTTCCTATTTACAAACCCTTATTCCTACATTAAAGGTTCTTTTGACTTAGGCCGTGTGTTTCTACATCAGTGGACTGTAAATTGGAGATTTTTGCCAGAAGAATTATTTGTTAACCGATACTTTCACATTTTGCTTCTAATAATTCATTTGACATTGATATGTGCATTTATAAATTCATGGAAAACCTACCTCAGCAGCTTTGCCACACTGAAGATAATAGAAGATGATGTCAAGCCGCAGCTGAAGAAAAGGAAAGAACGTGTCAACATGGACACTAGTTCACAGTTGTTTATCTTACCATTATTTACTTGCAACTTTTTAGGTGTAGCTTGTGCTCGCTCATTACATTACCAGTTTTATGTATGGTACTTTCACACTTTGCCATATCTTCTTTGGTCTACTCCATACACTCCAACATGGAAACTTATTATAATGGGTGTGATTGAGTTATGTTGGAATACTTATCCCTCAACTATACTCAGTAGTGCTGCTCTTCATGTTTCACACATAGCAATAGTGTTTGGTTTGTTCAGAGCAAAGTATAAAAAATCTTAAATTGCTAAACCGGTGTTGTACATTTATCAGGAATTACAACTGAAAGAGTGGTCTGTATTTCTCTAAGGCTGCGTTTACACGAGGCCTGTTGGAGGGCAGGGTAGGTGTACTTGCCTTAGGTGACTTGAAAATTAGAGACAAGTAACCTGCCTAGGCTTTACTGGCTTTGTGTAAACGGGGCTTTAGGAAGAATATGGAAAACATTTCTTGTAGCCTATTTAAATTAAATCAAGACTGTAGAGTTCAAGACTATGACGATGAGGTAAGTTCTTGATACTCCAAAATCATTTTTAGAATTACTGCAGGCCCTGGAATTACATAGCGACCTGGATTAACTTTATTTTTGTTTGGTAAATAAAATAATATGTAGTAGGCTGGTTAAAATGTATGTGGCCTATAACTTCATGAATGACAGCAATATGTACATACTTTTCTTTTACAAATTAAAATATGCTAAAAAAGGTTAAAAAAGTGTACAGTAAGAAGTTAGTGACAATGGCTGCACTTTAACTTACTTTACGTCCCACACTCATTTGAATGAAATCTACTAAATGAAAATATCGATTATTCGATATATCGTTTGGTTAGGTTAACCTTACCTAACTAACCAATTCGATATATTGTTTGGTTAGTTAGGTAAGGTTAACCTAACCAAACGATATATCGAATGAAAAAATCTAACAATCGATATATACATCAATATTTTCATTTGAATGAGTGTAGGACGTAAAGTAAAGTGCAGCCGTGGCAATACCTCAATTGATTATCCGATAAGCCTGTTGTCAAAAGGTGTACCGGTAATACACTAACTATCAAAACATTAGGTAAAGTTTTAACTGTGATGTGGAAGTGCCTTACCTAGGCCTAATATTTCACCACATAGTTTTTCACCCCTTTTTTATAATGTGCTAGCCTATGTTTTATAATATGCGTGAGTGTACATAATTTAATACTTGTAAGAATTTAAATGCAAATCTAGTCAATTCACAAGAAGGATAGGTTATGAGCAACATTATCATTGTTTGCCAACAACAAATTATTATATATAAGTGGAACCATACAATTTGTATCCAGTTACTCAAATCTGATACACTAGATTTTTAAAAACAATGACATTGCCTAAAACTGTAGTGAATACATTGTCTTTAATGTAGAGAATGTTTCAGCCCTTTTTTTAAGGATCAAATTACAACATAGCATTAGGCTATCCGGTAGGCTTAATTTAACTAAGCGCCAAAAGTATCCAGACAATGCTGGAATTGTGTATAAAATATTCCCAATAAAAAAAATAAATGTAATAAGTTACAAATGTATCAAACTTTTTATTAAACTCCGTTGTTAATAGACTAGAATATCCGACAGTCTCGTGTGCTTCTGCACAAGTCTTAACAGGAGTCTTTTCATTTATTATATTTTATAAAGACATTTTGTTTAAAATATGTTATGATTGTAAATATTGAGTACCTAGTTACCGGTACAGTAGCTACTGAGTTTATTGTTTTCTTGACCCTTTTTTCTTCCTGCAGCCGTTCGATTCCTCATCTGATCATCTGAACTTTTTAGCACCACCACAACAAAGTGTTCCTTAACCCGCGGTATATGAATTTGGGTTTTGTACAAAATAAACCAATGTTTTCATTTAAGAAAAAATATCTTAGAATTATTGTTTGTAGACTACCACTGTTTGTACTATTTGTATAGTGTGATTATGTATAATATTCACAAATTTATGTAGAAAATTAACAATAAAATTATTTTGGACAGTTAGAAAGTGGAATTTTGATTTTATTCAGTAACCCCTAAATTTCTTAAGTTTTAATTTAAATCACACAATACAAAGTTATTAAAAATCATAGCATTTTAATAAAGCAAACTATATTATTAGCCTACACTTACCATCTATATATTAATAGTATTTAATTATTTCACAACGGATTGGTCTTTTTCACGAGTACCATGAAAATAGAAAATATTGTTGAAAATAGAAAAATAACCAGCAAGTGCAAGATTTACCAATAATAAATATACATAACTTGTTATTCTTAGGTTGTCGGTTACTCATCACTAAAATAAATTAATCACAATTTACTAAAAAATGTCGAGGTATATTTCAAGTTTACTTCAAAACTCATCTTCAGCCTCTAGTAACAACATATCAAGTAAATAAACTATGATTTATAATGTTTGTTTATAAATTAATTAACATATGTTTGAATTATTTTAAAATTAAGTTAGTTGGAAAAAATTTTTATATGTATATATTATGTAGATGTCACAGTTAATTTATTATTGTTTTTCCAATTTTAATTTTGTTCTCAACCTCTTCTCGAATTAAAGGTATAAACATAGGGCTGATTGTAGCACTAGGTTGGGATATGCTTCTTTTATCAACCACCATGCAAGCAGCTTCTTTAAGATTTCTTAATTTCCAGTCTGCTTCCTGGTAGATCATAGTTGATTCAGACCAATGTATTCTATGTTCTTTCAGAGAAAACATGTTCACTTAGTTTGGAATAACTCTCCAAATGATTACTAATGCTCTTCTGGTGTAAATTATAAATCATAGTTTATTTACTTGATATGTTGTTACTAGAGGTTGAAGATGAGTTTTGATGTAAACTTGAAATATACCTCGACATTTTTTAGTAAATTGTGATTAATTTATTTTAGTGATGAGTAACCGACAACCTAAGAATAACATTAATAATGCCATCACGAAGGAAAAAACATACCGGAATGAATTATACATAACTTAATGGTTTAAACTTCAGTCTCCAGTTTAAAAGTAATTTTCTGCCACCTAGGTTTCAGCATGTTGTGCCATCATAAGGCTTCCAGTTTGAATAATATGTCGCAGAAATCACTTATTTTTAACCATGGAGACTGAAGGTACTTAAACAATTATATTAGTTCTTTAACAGTTCAGGGCAATTCCATGTCTCATGATGTAAAACATATGACAATAATGGTTTGAGAAATTCTCAAGTATTGAATAGGTACATTTAGATTATGAGAAGAAAACGCCACCAAACTCTAAAAACCGGACAGACTGTTGCTTTGTAAAAATCGTACGTTGGCTAGCCTATATTCCAGCTAATCATAACTCTATTAAGTGAAGAAAGGTTATCATATTCTCCTACTCATAATGTTGCATACATTTCCATCTTTGTAAAGGTTCTCAAGCCCAAAGTTATTGATTCAACCCACTTAATATTTAAGAAGCTCAGGTTTATTTTGGGGCTTAAAACTTCATTAGTTTCCTATTTCAAACCTATCATGAGGCATTTCTGGGTGGAGACACAAAACATTTCCAAGATTGCGGGCATTCATTGTCTATGGCGATGTTGGGAATCTCCGAATGATGTTCCTGGGATGACCACTGACCGCTCCTTTCCACACACACACATTCTTTATATTTACTTTCTAGCCTCTTCGGACGCTCTTCTTAGGGTATTAGTAATGGAAGCATTGAAAGGAGTATTGCAGCTACATATCATTGAATAATATTTATGAAAACATAATTTTTACATATTCTGTCATTTGGTGTAAAAATATAATTTTTTATAATCCCTGTGTAATAACCCCATCAAGTATAATGTTAATACCAAACCTCTAAAAAACAAATTTTCCATAAATATACTATAGCCACAATAACTCAAAAGTTTAGGTTCATCAGTCGAAGATCCCACGATGTGTCCTAATAACTTGAAGTTTTGCAGTTTGCAAGTGCAAATCACCTGCGTTTTTATTCCTGTTGAGCCATGAAAATAACTACCTTTGTTTGTTTGGAAATGGCTAGTACAGTATACTGTCTGCCAGTTATTGAGATGATTTTGTGAGCAAGGTATGTGATGTTGTCAGTTAAGCGTGGGTGTAAAACGTTGACAAAAGACGGAATAAAGAGTGACTAAGACAGTTGGCGATAAAAAGTGAAATTGCCTGGGACATTTAAATTCCAACTAACATATTTTATTGACGATTTTGAAAAACGGGGAGAGTATGTGGCTGTAGGTGGATTGAGCAATAAGAAAATAATGAGTTTAATGACGTGGATGAATGTGTTTTGATGTAGATAGTTAAAACAGTATCAAATTTAAAAAAAATTCCTGTATCAGGACCGATTTTGCCACTTTAATTGTAAAAACATTTACCAAATTACAAAAATGGCTGATTTTGTGAAAAAATGCCATGACCACTTTTACTTAGCTTTTAACTTTCTATAGAACAATACAGTTTAAAAACATTGAACAATAAATAGCTGAGTAATCAGGACTTTTACTTCTAGCCTACAGGCCAGGCAAAAATAAGGCTGAGCAGTATAGGTTCGCATCACTTTGCGCCTAAAAATTATGATTTCTCAGCTATTAACAATTTGATCTTTTTGAAGTTGACACCTTTTAATAGTTAATTTCAAATACTAAATTAAAGTGTACTCAGAATTTTGGTGTTGAATAAGTAATTTTTTAGTGGTTTACAACAATTAACATGGCTGCCAATTTTATTAAACTAGAAATATATTTAGAGACTTTTTTTCTTAAAAAAATTAAAACAAAAAGACAGCAACCTCGCTCACAGGGCATTTGTGGAAAAATATTTTCTTCTTGACTTTGGTTTTATTTTAACCCAATAAACCTATGGCTGTGTTTAAACTATTCAGTAAACTAAGGCCCTTTTTCATGCCATTTTTATTGTTGACGAGATCTATTGAAACTTAGTTATTTAACAACAAATAAAGATTTATGTTTTAAATTTGTTGTACCTATTTATGGGACCCACAATATAATTAAAACTTAGGTAGGTAGTTATTAAAAAAAACACACTCTTGAGCCAGAACTTGTTTTTTATTCAGTTTATTTAAGCTGCCATTTTATCTTCTTTTTTGAGGTTTATGTCGAGTCTTTTCTTTTCCACATAGTGAGCGATACGAGCTTCCAAACTCTCTGTAAAAACATACAAAAATGTGAGAATAGATATCCAAGACATACAACTGATAAAATACCCCCGCTGCAGCAAACCGGCAGAGAAACCAAATTTCTATTTTCCTAATTCTTTTTCAACTAAAATGTTTCCTAAAAAAATGTCAGATTTATTTCCTAGGTTCATTGAGTAAATAGGATTGCTGTTGCAGGGAAGTAAATAAAGTGTTTTCAGATGTTAACTAGTGTACATATTGCTCAAAATTGAGTAATTGCAAAGTAAAGTAGTTATTTAAAAAACAAATAACTTATTTAAAAACGAATAAAAGTCATAATTTCCGATGAGTTTAAAAGACTCAACCCATAGATTACGTACCTAAGAGTTCCATATAATCAAAATTTCTTGTAAATATTTTATCATTTTTAAAAGCTGATCTGGTTTTTTTAGTGTATTCTACAAATGTTTCCCACTTATAGCCACATTAGGTTGTCCATGTTGATCTTTGTCAATGATAATGTAGTCTGCATGGTACCACCCATTGTCACCAGTACGTTTACAAATTTCAGTAATTTTTTTATAGCGATTTTGTTTGCATTACTTAAGAAATACCTGATGTTCTGCATAACCTCTCTGTCACAATTGTATTTGCTACAATTGGCATTACTTTGGCTAGCCTATATAATAGGCTTATATAGCTTACGTCATGGCGACCAATAATTCCCCCAAACCATGGCCCTAAGGCCCATGCCAAATTCCTAAAAGTTTCAATTAAACTTAGAGAAAAGCCCTGTGGTCCGATTAAAGTACAATTTCAGATTTATACCTTCCCATGATTGGTTACTATGACTGTGCTAGATTTTGTGCCAATTGCTTCAGCCGTTCGCAGGAGTGTGGTATAAGAGCTTCGCTCCGCTCAATTAATAAATAACTTGATCTAAATCCAACTTAAAAATATCATGAAATAAGCAAACTACAGTATAACAGTTTATTATTCTCTATAAGAATAACATGGGAATTTTAAATTTACAGTTTTTTACTTTCTTTGTACAGTATAACAAGGCTTCAATATCTTCACCATCTTCAATATCATTCGTTTTTCAAGCCATACAAAATGGTTTGGAAAGAATTTGCTAAATTTATGATGAATAATATCAAAGTTATGCTTAAAAATGTATAATATTGTTGAGTAACAAAACATATCCAGCCAAACCACCAACAAGTTGATTACTTACATTGCAATTTTGTAGTATACAGTATCAGTTTGTGTAAGATAACTTTTGAATCACTAAGGTCACTTGTTTCCTGCACTGCTAATTCATCATAGATAACACTAACAATGTAGCCTCCATATATTTTTTGTGGTTTCCATTATTCCAAACTAATAATTTTTTTAAAAATAAAGGTGTCCCATGCCTTCAGAACAGTTAAGTGAGAAATGTGTATGTAGCCTTTTTATAGCAAGGGAGAAGCATGTGCAAACATGTATTTTCAAGTTCATGATATTTAGTGGAATATATAACAAGACTCCTTAAGGCTGAAAGCCCCACATGCCTGTACTTCAATTGTGGTGTGTTTTATGGCTCTAAACTTAACTGTTGCAGTTTCACACATTTAAAAATTGTTGCATCCACTAGGAATCATCGCTGAAATTGGGCGGAAATAAAGCACTGCATAATAGGTGTCTGACTTCAAAAGAACTATTACCGTCCAGCCTTATATATATGATTTTTTATCAAAAAATATAAAAAATGAATGTAATAGTAGGAAGTTTTACTTTAAATTAAAGAAATTCTTAGTAGAAAAAACAATTTACTCCTTTGAGGAATTATACAATTTAAAATATTGTGAATAGACAATAAGTTACTCACTGACTCTATTTATTTTACTTGTACATTTATGAATAAAGGAGATTTTGATTTGATTTGATTTAGGCTCATAAATAACCACATAAAATGAATTTAAAAATTTGTCATGCATAGGCATGGCCTCAGGACTATGCAAGGGTTGACTTGTACTGAAACATTTAGTCCTAGGATCCAAACTCACAAAATTGCGGCCATGGATCCAAAGTCTGTCACACTACCAACTGAGCAACTAGCGTCATTAAATGTGTTTCTTACCACATGTAGGCCGCTGCAAGAGAGGCGTATAGACTTTACCCTTGTTCCCTTGAATGAGTGCACTGCTTTGGCGACACAGGGTTTGACCTTCCATCATGTTCTCAATACCTGCTATCATCTGACTCACCATTGTACTTCTGAAACATGATTTAAGCTGAATATATACCCGACGGAAACAAAGAGGGGAGTGTTCATTGACTTGCTTTAAATTACAAAATTAATCTATTTATGTATCAAAAGCAACTTCTTTTCAATTGAACTGGATTAACCTAATGCTCCTTTACCACTCCAGTAAAAAATTTTCATATCAGGGGTGCTTACGAACCGAGCACCATGTCTTAATCCCCAATAGGGTCACCCCATTATCTACGCTGTACTCCATACATGACCCGCCCGGTACCTGAATCTTCAGCGTCTGCCTCAATGGTTCTCTAATGTGTCACATTACCCTACACAAAAATTCATCAACTGCTTCGTTATTATAAAATATTAGCCGCTATACCTGCTATATAACTGGATATCTAGTACAATATATTTTTGGCCTTGATGCTAGTACGAAAGTGCTGTAAAATATGGTAATATTAAAGGCTTTTTTCAATATTTACACTCTTAAGACTATTATCGACATTCCCATACTGCCATGTTAGGTTAGGTTACAACCGATGTCCCGAAAAACAGGAGAAAGGTCAATGAGAAGAGGGACATCCTTTTGGAAAAGATAAATAATTAAATAGCCAACAAATAGATATGTTAACATATGATAAGTGTTTAGGCTACAAATATTAACCAGTGTGAGGGTAATAAATCCCCTCATGTGCTTGGTTTATTTGTCGACCTCCATTTTGGTGCTCAGTTCGAGTGCGCCCCTTATCAGTACCGTCAATCAGTTAATGTTACCTCTCCCAAAATTTAATTCCCTGAGTATTCAGGTTCTACACATGGTGTGTATTACCACTTATAGCAACAGATTACGCTATGGAGTATATGACTTAAGTTTCCTACTACTTCTTATTTAGTCACAACAAAAACTAAGACACGATGATCCTGTGTTTACTCTGGATTTGAGAGAAGATTTTTTTACGATGGCCAACTCTAAGTTTCTTGTTTTCAACTTACACATCAATACTCATTTTGTTTTTACAAACAACAAAGGAGGGTTAAGGGGAGCCAATCATATTTGAAAAGTGTTAAAGGTCGAAGTTTTTGGGTATTTGAAGCTATTTGTTAGGATTTTGGGAAGTCCGCAGAATGAACTCAAACTCCGCCAGGTTAGCGTCGTCTGTTGTCATAACTGATCAGTTACCATAAATGTTTCGTGTCCGTGTGTGTATCGTGTCTAAATGTCTATTTATTTTTACGTGTTAAACATGACGCTCTTCACATGAAGAAAGAAAACGTCCCTTGTACCGCCGACGATGGCTCCACATAGGAGTTGAAAGTAGTTGCGACGGCAATTTAATGTATTGCTTAATAGCAGGTATTTGAACATTTTTTTAAATTTTGGGAAGTTTGAAAGTTTCGACTTAAAGATTTATTTTCAAACTAAGCAGACATGTACCCTTTTGTATAAATTAATAATTAAAGTAAAAAGGTGTTGGAAACGTATGGAGAAATTTCTTACGTTGAACTATAGTACGTTAAGTAACGTATCCATAGTAGACAGTGATTCAAGGCTTTTTAGGGCTATTTCCTTCTTAGTCGGCCCAGTGGAGAGCCGCATCAACTGAGTGTTTATTAAAAAATTGATTTTAAGAAACTGTAAACTTAAAATGTATTATTGACCAGTAGAGTGAAAATTTGTTGGGACACTTTAGACACAATCAGAAATGAGGATTGTCACTGTCAGTTAACTCAATAATGGGAGAGAAACCTACATTTCTTGTAATTTGGGTATGTCAGCTATAAATAAAGAGGCTTTAAGGTAAAATACCCTAAATAGTGAAGTGCTTCACATTTTGATATGTCAGAGGTCGAGCAGCTGTGTTTATGACTCACTTGACAGTATGTAGCGTCCACTGCTGTTGTAGGCTCTGCATCACACACTCCAGGTTATGTCTGTCTATCTCCCAATCTCCGTCAATCTCATACTCACAACGGAACAGCTGCAGTGGCTCTCCTATGGCGAGGCCGTACTGCGGCTTACTGCAACAGAGAATACTCGTGGTGCTCAATACCGATACCTGAAAAATCAATTCTCGATGCCAATACCATGTTTTTATAATTTTACCAAGTTTTCTTAATGGATTGATTTGATAATTCTACACCACGAGTCTTTATACTCAGTAAGTATTTTGAGGTAATGGGGTGTTTTACAAGTAGAGAAAAAAATGCAAGCAGCGATGAATTTGAGAGTTTTGGTAGGTACTCAAAAACCTCTCATACTCATTGTGGAAATAAATAGAATTACACCTTGCAGATATAGTTTTATTGTAAACCACATGGAAAACTAGCAGTTGAAATATCACTGATTTTTTCAAATAAATTGATACATTTAGATTTTACGTATTGTTTTAATATTACAATAAAACAGGGTTGCCACCTTAGGTAAGGGAAAAATCGGGATATGGCCCCCCCGCCCCCCGGATTAACATAGGCTTAAATGCGGGCATAAGGAACCGAAATCAGAACTGTCCCGGCAGAATCGGGACGGGTGGCAACCCTGCAATAAAAGGACATTTTCTTTAAAGCAAATATTCCAGAGCTAATTTTGGGTAAGATTTTGTCTACATGGCTATTACAATCTAAATGCTGATCAATAGTTAAACCAAGAATCTGAGCATTTGGTTTTGTTATAATTTGCTGAGAGTTCAAATCTATCACTGGTTGTCTCTTATTTCTGTTTTGTTTTGTATAAAAATTAATACAATTAGTTTTTCCTACATTCACAAATAAATTATGATCCTTGAGAAATTTATTGATGTTTTCTAATTCTAGTTTACAATTTACTTCAGTTTCTTATAAATTCTCCGATGATAATTTCAAGTTTGAATCATCGGCATATAAAATTAATTTTTAATTTGGTTTGAATAACAAGGCATTTTCCATGTATTTCATATAACATAAAAATAACAGAGGACCTAATATTGAACCTTGTGAGACGCCAAATTTAACGGGGCGAGTTTCTGAAGATATGCTAATAAGTTTATTTGAGTTTGATTTTGATAGAAACGTTACTTTAACATACTGACTGCAGTCACAAAGATATGACTGAAACCAATTTAGAGAATTTTTAGATTTTCCTTAAGATTGTAATTTTTGTAATAAAATTGAGTGCTTCACACTGTCGGTTTGATTTTTTGATACGAGCAGCTGATTCTAGTGTTGATAGGATTAGAGGTAAAGTGTATACATATTATTAGATATATACAGATTAGAATAAAGTAATTTAAGCTGGTTCATATCATACCTGGGGCATTTTTCAATATCAAGCAAATGTTGAATAATTTCTGGGTTCTCAAGTTTCCTTCCAATTAAAACCAATACTCCAACTATGCATCTTACTTGATGCCACAAGAATCCTTTGCTAGTCAATGTGAATTCACACATGTCATAACCTGTAACAAACAAGTTTATCTTACCAAACCATCTCTGTTAACTAGCTGTTACTTGTTTCTAAATCATACAAACTGGGACGGTGGCGTAGTTCCGTAATCCAGCTACTAGGAGGTTACAAATTGTGGATATTTATAGGCATTAATAATAATTAATTGGCTCTGCCATGGTATCAATATTTACTTTTGAAAACCTCAACTCAAAACTCTGGTAATCCACGGGGCGAAGCCTGAGGGGAACTCAAGTAAGTGAATAGAACTATGACGTTCCTAGATATATGGACCATCATTGTGGTTAATTTTGGCTATATTGGTTTAGTATTTTAGTCGTCACAGCTGAGATGTTGTTGAGATTTTTCGGTTTTTGTAAAACAAATTTTTTTGCGGGTTAGGTGAAGATTTGTATCATAATGCGCAGCAAAAACAACCGTTTTCAATTCTGCAATACTGTTCTTTCGTCGGGGGCTGGAGTAGTTAATTGTATCCATTAGACATAAAAGAATCCATCAAAAAGCCTGGTTTTGATAGTTTTTGTTAAAAGTTAATACATGGATAAATTATAGCAAGCCTGCGTTCTTAGCCAATTCCCAACAGATTTTGATCAAGATAAGATATATAACATATGATATTGTATCAGCGGATTAGATGTTTTGTTTTAATTTTTGCTCATGTCAAAATATACTATTAATTCTATTAATTTATCTTTGCAATGACGTGTTGCGTCCTTTTCCACAGTCTCTTCAAAAACTTCTGATAATGTAATAATGTAAATTAAAGCAAAATGTGTATTTTAGCCCGTAGCGAAGTCACGGGTTCACTTCAGAGGGTTCATTTAGTAGTAGGTAATGAAATACAAAGCTATGTCGAGGGAATAAATAATAAATTTAATCTTGTAGTGGGTGACTCAAACATGGTAGGCCTAAAAGAAGTGTAAACAAACATTGTAAAAGCTATAATTAGTGTTTATTGTTAGGAAAGCAAACAAACCATAAGTAGCCTACCTGGATTGTTGAGGGTAGAATTGGTAGATATGACTTTAATTCCAGCATTATCAACTGTACGGATAAACTCAATAACTCCATTAGCAACATCCATTTTGCAGAGATTTCGATAATCATGAGTGCCAATCAAAAATGCTGCACCTTTCTCCATAGCCTTATAAAAATATATTTACAGTTAGTTATTATTGTTAATGCTAATTATGGTATTCATATTTCATTCTCATATACTTAAATTTCATTCATACATTCAGACTATTATATTCCCTTAAAGAAATTAAAATGGTTCTTACTAGTTGTGACAAATGTGTTTTTCTTATGAACAGGACTCGGAACTAAAACCAGGCTCAAAAGCAAATTTTGCAAAAGGGTCGAGTAGTAATTGGGGTTTTCACTTCTCGCATTATGTTGGCATAATGTTTATCAATCGGTTTGTAACTTATCAATTTTTTTTTACTAAAAATAAATCTTTCCTTAGGGAGTAAAACACCTTTTTTAATCCTAAGGAGTAACAGTCAGCTGTTGTAACTTTGATTGTCAGCACTCATGTAGGTATTAGACTTATTTATAGATTTATTTAACCTTATCTGTTGTAGCCTATTGTTGCATTCTTGTCAATAGTTCAACAAATCGATAGTATAATGTACAGTAACACAATTGTAATAGACAAAATGATTGAATCACAAACTGATCAGCTGCTTATTTTGCATTAGGAATAAATTGAAAACAAGTTGGAAGTCATTTTCAGAGGTTATCTTTACATGAAAAGTATTTTTGTTTTCTAAGTTGTTTTTTAGATAAAAGTTGCAATTTGACAAAAAATATAGTTCATCACACAGGCAAAAAGTTTCTTTTCAACCCTCGCTCATTTTACGACCTTGGCTTCGCCTCAATCGTGAAACTTAAGGTAAGGTCGAAAAGATTCATTTTAGGCCCTAGTGATGAAATATACTATATATATATTTTTTAAATTCTACATTGATGTTGTCCCCTTCAAAATAGTACCCTTTAGAGATTATGCATTTGTGACAAAGCTTTTTACAATCCCCGAAACACTTCTGAGACACCATGTACTAACTTTGAAACTATGATATAGAATGATATAATTTCCTGTGTAGTAGGAATATATGCTACAGTTTGAGCCACAGATTGTGAAATGACAAATACTTACTGTCAGATCTAAATCGCCCCTAGGAAAGAGATATTTATAAGTTCTCTTTTTACAGTCAAACCTCGCACTAAAGCCATCAGGAACTTGTTTCCAGGCAATTACTATGATGTTGTTTGGTAGAAGACTGTTCAACATCTTGCAGTATTCCAAGGGTGGCTCCCCTTCCTTAGCAGCCCGAACCGTCAAACTTATCACCTATAATAAGAAATATAATTTTTATTATAATATCATTAACATGTTGATGATACATCCTTGCTAAACAGGTTCAATTTGGCTTGTTGATTCGATGTGAACAAACCGAACTGACAGTGTATGTGTCAAAGTTTGTTGAAACAGTGTGAGTTCAAGCCAGAAATTTGATATTGTGTGTGAACACTGAGACAGCCCATCTATATGGACCAGCTGTCTCAATTTTTCATTAAAAAAGATAAATAACATAGTTGTGTGAGCCAGCCACAAAATGCGCTACTGCCTAGAACTCTGTTTCGACCTTATTTTTTGTTGCTGACCGAGTTCTTGGGTCCCAACAGTTGCTATAGCTCACAATAAGTCATTCCATTAGTTTTACTTGGTAAACCAAATTGTGTATTTGGCAGAGATTAGTAATTTAGATCAGCACAACCTGTCAATGGCTCACATCAACTATGACGATTTTGTTAAAAAAACTGACAAACTTTAACATGGGGATGGAATGTCTACTTGCAGTGGCGGATCTATGGGGGGGGCTAAGGGGGCTATAGCCCCCCCCTTCGGGTCTAAACTTACACTGTATAAAACGGAAAAATTCCTAGTTAAACCAACAATTTACCATGAGACTTGCAGGTGCTTGAAATATAAAGAAAATAATTTATGAGCGTGTTTAATCTAATTTCATGTAACGACAGTGCATTACAATGAATTAATCTACTGCTTGTTTTAAACTGGACAGACCTTTAAGACTGCAACAGAACAGCGCTTGTACGGTTCGAAACTTCTGGCCGTCTGTGCCCGAAATAAGCCGAAGGGAAGGGATGCGCCTCCAGCACACTTTCCTCCCCCGCCACCGGTTAAGTTGGACCGTTCCGCGCTATGACTATGAGTCATAGAATCATAGTTTTGGCACGTACGCTCGAAGATAGCCATTCCCATTGTCAGTGTCCACGCTCCAGTAGTGCCCGTCCAGTGTCCTAGTCTTACTTCCTACTGCCACGCAGTAGTTTGTTGTTGTGCGGGAGCGTTTTAAAGTGGCGTCAGTGTTCATGAGGGTGAAATTAATTTGACTAGTTTTGTATTTCTATTAGAAATGAAGCGTAGACTTACGGATTATTTCAGTAAGAAGGTAAATAGTACTGTTTCTGTTGCTGGTGAAGCAAGTTGCGAAGTGAATAAAAGCACAGTCAGTGATAATACTACAGTTAGTGATCAAAGTAATGAATTCTCCAAGAAGCATCGCCGTTTGGATGATGAGTCAAATAAAAGTGAGACTTTCAATAGAGGCGAGATGAGGATTTCTCATGATATGGTAAGTATAGGCTAACATTAAGCGGTAGTGTATGCTTTTTAGTAACGTCACGCTCGTGGTAAGGAGATGGAGTAGACACTCAGAGACTATTTTCTCAGCAAATACCGTTAAGTAAAAGGTTTTGCATTATTTTTAGAAATAGCCTATGTCTGATATATGAAAATTTAATAATTCTTACAGGACACGAATCGCTCAGAACTTGCGTTCATAAAAGAAAATTTATTTCCCAGCCTCGGGCCGGGGCCTACCAACATAAACAATTCTTTAATACTTTCTTATTAAATGGTGACGATACAAAGTAGGTATTTTAAGCCAAGTATGAATTTGAATGGAGATGAATTCATCGACGGGACGCGTTTAGATCTACTATTACATCGTTGTTTTACGTCTTGCATTAAGTTATAAAACCCAACTTATTATTTATTGATTTTAACAAAATGTTTTCGTAATTTCTGTTGTGTTTATATCCTCGTGATAAAAAAATAATTTACCTTAGAAATGTTTCTTTGGGATTTATACCTAGGCCTCCAAGTTCGTCCATTTTCCTGTTTAAAATTTGATTACACATAGATTACCTAACCTATGCCCCAATTTCACAAGGAACATTTTTTTATGGTGACTGTTGAAGTATCAGTTTTATTTGATGGCTTAAACTAGCGGGTAAGGTGTGGCCAATATGGGTATGTGACTCTACCATCATCGGTAACTAACAGTGGCCATAACAAAATGTATTTTATTTTAGGGTCCACCTGGTATATCAACCACTTGTGGTGGAACATATAAATCAAATGATATTGGTCTGGCTGTTGGGAAAATTCTAGATGACAACGAAAAGCTACAATTTTTGACTCAGACTTGGGTACCTCCAGTTAAATATAATTTTCCAACTAAAGTTGAAGGCAAGCAAACTCGAAAATTCAGAAGAGAATGGTTAGACCAACACGACTGGCTTGCATACAGTGAATGCTTACCTGGAGGATTTTGCAAAATTTGTGTTCTTTTTGCTCCTGCTGAAGCGGGAATAGGAAGTCAGGTAAGCCATGTCTCTATACTTGATAAAGTATTCTTTTCGTTAACATTTTTTAGTTTAAAAGTTTTGCAAGTGTTTCGAAATACAAGGCCGAAACGGGACATTTATTAAATTATTCGTATAAATAAAAAGCATTAACTTGGGCAATAATTTCATGTTTACGTTAAAAAAAAATTATAAGTACGGTAATGTTTAATACAAATAATTGTATTAAATCAAATTAATTAAATCTATAATTGTATTAAATCTGTTTGTTACTGTAACTTCTATAATGAAAGAGCTGCTGAAGTTAATTTTTTACTAAATAATAAAATTAAGTGGTTTTGTAAAATATAGAACACTAATTTAATATTGTTGACACCCTTAAGATTCTCGTTTTGAAAAAAAAAAATTAAAGGCATAGGAATTATTTTTTGTCCTTGACTTGAAAACGGTCAAGTAATTTGACTGTTTAAGACGTAAAAAAATAATGCAACATAATTTTTTATAAAAACAAGTAAAGTTCACGTTTTGTTTCAGGTTCTTAAAACATTTGTGAAAGTGCCGTTAAATAAATTTAAGAAGGCAACAGAAGAGATCAAATGCCACGAATCTACTAAGTATCATCAGTTTGCAAAAGAGAAAGCTCTAAATTTCAAAGAGTCGTCCGAAACTGCTGGCTTACCTACCAAACATGTCGGTCATATGATGGACAAGAAAAAAGCCAACATTATTGAGCAAAACCGACGAAGGCTGAAACCCATAGTGAAGACAATCCTCTTTTGTGCCCAAAACAACCTACCCCTCAGAGGCCACAGAGATGACGGAAAACTCTCAGAAGATGAACGAGAAATGGCTCTTCAAGGAAGATATGGCGTATTCAAAAGCCTCCTGTCATTTCGGATTGATGCAGGTGACGAAGACCTAAAGTCGCATCTTTCTACGTGTAGGAAAAACAGTACACTCATAAGCAAAACCATTCAAAATGAGATTATAGAGTGTATTGGAAAACATTTACAATCCAAAATAGTAGAAAGTGTACAAAAGGCCAAGTATTTTTCGATTTTATGTGACGAAACCACCGATGCCAGTAGAAAAGAACAGCTTACGTTTTGTGTCCGTTATATCGACATGGAAGACCGTAAGGTAAAAGAAGAGTTCCTTGGTTTTGTAGAGCTAAAATCGACTACAAGTGTGTCGATTATCTAGAGAAAGAGACCAAGAGAAATATTATCTAATATCAGTTCCGTAATATAAACATAAAATATATTGGAATTGGTTTATTTTCCTTGTTTGTAAAATAAAATTAATCAAAATTACTTTTGTTGTAGTTTATAAAAGAGGAATGCAGGATGAACGGACCGAATGGTCTATTATTTTTCCTACTCTAATGAATGTCTATTGGTTTTGTTTGTGTTCAGGTTGAAGAGCTACTTGAGAAGTACTATGGGAGAAGTACGTTTGAACGGGCTGGCGCTAGCAAACATATCAAAAGAAAGGGAGGTGCCAGTAGATGAAATTATAAACCTCTTCAGCAGATCTAAGAACAGACGCATGAGCCTGGAAAATTGGGAAGAGGATTAAGTAAACTATTTCTATGTATCTGATGTTTAATAAAACCGATTTTCAGTTTAAGTCTTTCATTTTGTATTCATAGCACCGATTACTGATCACAGTGTTTATATTTGAATAAGTTTAATGTTAAATTTAACTATTTAACGAACGTAACAAATGTGTGTATGTGTTTGTGTTAATTGGGGGAGCAATTTATCTAAAGGCTATATTTTAAAAAATATGAGGCAATCTTTGTTAAGAAGATTATGGCTAAGCTACTGAAACTGGATAAACTTTTATGACTTTTGTGTTGTTTGAAAGCCTGTAATGCCGAAATGAGCTTTTTAGGTGTCTCAAATCGGTGCAGTGTAGTAGGGTTTCAGCTCACTGTAATGGAGGAACATCACCACGAACGAACATTCAACGCTGAATACAAATCGAGCAGACAACTAAACTGTCAAAATGATGCTTAAAAATACAAACATATGGTTTGCTCGCTTCTTTAATACATCTACATTATTTTAGTTCAAAGCGATGCCGATACCCACGACTGTAGTATTTTAAGAGAAAACAAAGGCAATAATCAATGGCTGTGCAAAATCTAGTAATCAACAGTGATTCAAAAACGAACAAGAATTTTAAGGTTAGTGTTTGCATTTGCATTCACGTTATAAAATTATTCCATTAAATAATCATGACAATAATAGTAATACAAAAGTTTACTAGTTTGGCAAAAATTCTATTCTCAATAGAAGTTGATGTCGATTTTAATATTTTTTTTACTAAACTTTGGACAAAGAATTAGTCTAAAACTGCCATTTTGGACACTTAAATTTCAAAAATTCAAAAATTTCCCCGAACCCCCCTTCTTGCTGGGGGGTATTCCATACCCCCCAGACCCCCCGGTTAGCCCCCCCCTTAGGATAGTTCTAGATCCGCCACTGTCTACTTGTATACATCAATAGTCAAAGGTTCAAGTCTTCAAATCAGCTGTTCTGACAATACAAGGCTATGGCCACACTTAGCGACGGTCGCCGTGACTTTTTTTCTTGCAACCTGGTCGCTGTGGTGGCCATACTAGCAACAATTTAAACCTTTTAGTTGACTTTTTAACCATACCCGTTAATAGTGTTTCGAAATGTTATCTATTATATTATTAAAGTGATACAATCAAATTTTATGTAAACGGTTAAGGTCATTTACCAAATAAAAATATAGGCATATGGAACATCAAAATGAAGCTTAGAGTGTGTATTTGCCAAAAAGTATTGATATGGACAAATTTCCTAAGGGCTCTGCCCCACAGGTTGATTTCCAAAGGGCTAACGCCTGGCATGCTTCCAATGTTAACATGATTTTATTTAATTTAATGAAACGGCTGGTCAGTACAATGAACTGGTGTTTGTTTTTTTACTCAAATAAGATGTTTGTGACGCTTTATGTAGATTGAGGAGGGTTATGTTTGGTTTAAAGTGAGGTTGTATACGTTTTGTATTTATACAGTAATCTACATGTGAAGAGGCTTGAATAAAATTGAAGAAAATGGTAAAACATGTCATTCATAAAGAATCAATATGAAGCAATAATTGATGTTATTGCTACACTAAGGTTTGACTTTATATGTTACTTTATGTCAGTAAAGAATGCAATTTTCCATTGATGAACTCAGAGAAGAAAGTTAGAGCCAAAATACCTTAAATGTTGGCACTTCTCCACCCTATTCTTAAACTGTGTCTTCTATAATATTACTACTAAATAGTTGTTTTCAGCCTCAAAATAAAAATATCATTTAACTCAACACTGGTCAAACTCTTCTGGTTGGGGAAAAATAGACTGAAGGTCTAGTTTTATTCAAAAGCCCATGTTTAGTTATTTTACCTTAACCCTCCAAGTGTCCATAGTTTAGGCCTTAATGTCCACCTATTTTTGGCGCATTTGCAAGGTTTTATTAAAACGGATCTGAGAAGCTTAAAACAATGTTAATTCTAATGTTCTATATACCATTTTGTTTGGAAAATCATGGGCTTCAATATTATATATAAAACATAAGGAACATTTTTTCAAAAAAAAAATTTTTAGGTAAAAAAAATATAATTTCGAAAATTTTCAAAAAAAAAAATAAGTTCGCGCTCAATGAAATTGTATAAATTATAGGCCTATAAATATTTGAAAATAGCCACTTTGTTCTAAATTTTATGAGGATTACAAATATATAATAATATAAGGAAGTAGATTTGCAAATAAATAAGTTATGGGCAAAAAACTGATTTCAGTACATAGCGTTTAGCTAAGAATGCATAGCCTAACCATAGCTAGGAATCTGGATGATAATTTACATCAATATCACTACCTACTTCTTCAGGATCATCAACCAGCACTTCAAAACCACTTAAATCTTCTTATAATGCACCACGTATATCACTACTTTTGATTTTTAACACTAAAACAATGATAAACGTAATAAAACACATCAGTCATCGGTCCGGGGGAACCTAGCTGTTTACAAATACACGCACGTCAGCTGTCTGCTACTATATTTTCGGAACTAAAATGAATAGCGCTTAGAGACAGACCTCTGAAGAAAGCTTAGAATATTACGGAAAGAACGATACCTAACTCGATCCAGTTCAATCCGATTCAGTCAGTTATAGAGCCTTCGCCGTAAACGATGTCTGCGTGTCGAAAAATCGACAAGTAACACTACACAAAGTGTGCTGCTTGTCGAATTTTCGTCAAGTAACACTGGGAGGGTTAAAGGGGATGAGTTTATCACCAACAACGTTTTTTTTGTAACACAATGTGAAAGTTTGCAAGTCAGTTTTGTCACTGGTTTTAAATATACTAGTAGTCGTCCAGTGGTCGAAAACTCGACCAAAAATATGTAATGTACCTGCAAAATTTACAAAATTTACATTTTTTCTTTTTTTTTACAAAAATATCAAAGTAAGTCAACGGTACAGGCTTCTCTATTTTCACCCCTTGCTGTAAATAAAACATGTGATTGTAATTTATTCCATTTATTTAGATTTTCTGTTTATATTTTGTCACCAGCATGGCAACCCATAAAGCCCATGTTAATTTGTTTAAATTTCAAATCCATTTTTTGTGCTTATATTTGAGCCTTTTTTAATTTTTAAAGAGATTCTGCACATCTACAGGAAAATATCTTTCTAACAGTATGCGTAGATTTCCTCTGCGATGCACACGAGCTGAGAAAAAAGGTTTGAAAGAAACATGCTTGCCTATTAATATATAGATAGATTCTCTTAGATTATGTTAAATATGACATTGTTGTAAAATAAGACATAGACTGGCAATATATAGGACAGCATAGGTCATGAAGCAGACTGTATGTTCCACATAGGTTCCTTCCAAACCTCTACGTCAGCTACTGGTGCACAATTTAATAGCACAAATGTTACACAGTTTTAACTGAAGTTTGTTCCCAGAACGCACAAGGTTTTTTAAAATAGGTCTTACCTGATCAAAAGCGCTCACGGTCTTGTCCGTCCTACCACATCGGAAGTAGTTGCATGTTTCCTTGCTTTCAACAAGACAACTTTTGTGAAGAGCTGCAAACAGATGATGCTCAATGGTGTCACAGCTCTCCTCAAGAGCAGCAAATCCCTGGTACTCCCAGCCAAAGTATAAAAGCTTAAATGCCACATGCATTTTTGGATATCTACAATGAAGATTGTAAATTAGTTTTTGGGAGTTTGGCCACACTCCACACTAGTCAATTGTACTCAGGAAGCTAAAACCTATCCTTACAATAAATACGGTATTACATGTGCGATTGAAAAACCTACTACCATGTGAGTTACAAATGAAGACCCGATTGATGGTAACATTTAGTATGTTGCTTTAAACAAAATCTTAAATATATCTGACCAAGTAGGTTGCATCAGTAATTTATTAACGTTAAAAAAATACATAGGTACCGGTAGCACAAAAAATTCAGAAACATTGGTTCCATAGTTAAAAAGCGAGATCCAATCGTCTGGCACAGGTGAGCACACATCTACGTTGTGAAGAGAAGTACTGCTTGTAAATGACAGCAGTTTACTATATAATTTAACTAGCTTACCCGTCCCGGGTTGCTGCGATTTCAAGAAAGTTTCAGAGTCGGTTTGGCTCTTCAACTATACTGATCTGCATAATTTTGGTCTTAAATTAAAAGCATGCAAGCACAGATTTACCATCAATCATCGGAATTCATTTATTTGGTGTTTATTTCGAGTAATGCACAAAAGCAACTTAATCCCTATACATTTTCTATGGGAGTTAAATTTGGATTTTCTTTTCCGAGTTTGTTTCGCTTCCAATGTAGGTCACGCCTTATAGATGTTGATAGTTCTGAGCGAAACTAGTTAAATTGATGAAATAGTTGTTTTTTGTATTATATCTCTAAACATTTTTTGACTAATTGCTTAAGTATTAAATTATTTATTAAAACCATGAAAGTGATCGTCCCTCACTGCTATGAAAGCAATCCTAGTTTTAAATAAGAAAAACAAAACAGCAGATAGCTTATCTCACTAGGTGTTAGGATTTTCTTGATTTTTGTTTGATTTGGACCCATAAGGTCTGTTTCAAATTTTTTGTAATTACTAATTGGGAACACCCTGCATATGTTTTTGCTGTTTGAGCAGGCAATTAGTGTATAGCTAATTCTAACCACCTCTACATTCGTTATAATTACTTGGAAAAGTCAAAGGGTCGTTTCCTTTTGAGATTTTCTCTTTCATCTGATCCATTGTGCTTTGAGAGAATGCCTTTTAGCTGTTTATTGTGAGCTTCTAATTGCTTGATGCGTTCAATTAATTCCTGAAACAGATCAATTCAGTTTAAAGAAGTTCAGTTTAGACATGAACTAATCAGTTTTTTGAGTTAACTAATAAAATTTGCTATTAGTTCAGCAAAATAAATGAAATTATGAACACAATTGAGTAAAAATGCTGGTATAAAACCTTTAAAGTTCGCAAACAAATAATTAGATGCAAGTGAATCTATCAACATTGATTTATAGTGATGGTCTGAATTTACCTTTTTTATAGAAAGATTTTGTGCTTTACGTTTTATCAGAATGGCAATAAAATGTTAAGTTCAAATTGGTAAGGTTAAATTAGAAAGTGTTATCATGAATGGTTGTTATGTGAGGATTTACTATACAAGTTAGGAAACAAATACAAAATATACTGTATTCTAATGATGATGAGCTTAAGTCTGGGGTTTTGAACTGCCTGATACTGCAACCCAACATATGCATTGATAAGAATAACTATTAAAAAATACTAGTTTTTAACTTTCCCACTTCTAACTAGATCACAAGCAGAAAAGCACATACTGTAGATAATGAGTTAATTACTACATGCAAGGCAACACATTTAAAAAATATATGATAGCCATAAATTTACAATTTCAAATTTAACACTTCAAAATTGATATAGGCTACCAACTATGCCTTGATAAAATGTTGGTTTATTCACTATTTTCATCAACTCAGTAGAGTAATATTTGGTTTGATTTATTGATCGACCACCCCTTATAAATTATAATATGGCGTATTATATTCGTATTCATCTTGGATTTCAAACTTTCAAAAATGTATGAAACTTTAACAAAAATGTATGAAACCTTATTAAAAAGGCTTGTTTGGTAATTCAAAATACTAATTAATTATTAAATTAGACAACTTCAACTTCTTTTAACTCTTGTCTATTTCACTTAAGTCACAAAATAATAACTCCTGTATATTTGAATCCATTTAAGGAAAAACATGATACTCCCAAATTGAATACAATAGCACATTTTAAAAAATTAATTGACCTTCATTTTGTTTTAATATTATATAAGTTGTGAGTTAGAAATATGAAAAGGTGTAAGCTATGACTTGAATCAGGCTAAAATAAATTTAATATAAAAAAAATGGGATTTACTTGAAATAACCTTATTGTTTGATTGAAATTACTAAGTCATAACAGCAAGATTGAATTTGTCGGAATGCATTTTCGTATAAAATAGTTTTTAAGAAACAATTCAAAATAGGTATCCAAATGCTGTATTGTTTAGCCCTTTTAATTGGCGACTGATCTTTAGTATAAAACGTTTTTAGAAACTTAACACTTTGTTTAATGTAACAAACATTTGGTGATATTTTTTTATAAGGAAGTTGTAGTCTCCTTTCAATTCATTATTCAAAATCCTTTCTGTTTTAGTTTTTTTGTTTTTGCGACAAGCTTTTAATATTATAAGGCAATAGTTTTGCTGAAATCAAAAGGTATTTATTTGATTTTTGCTGTAATTGACAGTAAAAATATTAAATACAATATATGAGTTGTAGTCAGTATCTGAAACAAAACTCAGTATTTTATAGGCTAACTAGATCAGATTTAGCACTGTCCTCTAGTTACATAATTAGCTATAATGTGTAGAGATACAAACAAAATAAAACTAATAATTTCTATTACTTTAATTGAATTTCATTCTAGTACCAAAAGGGTTATTTAAAAGGTTTGATTCTGAGCAAGTCCTTAGATACTTTTTTGTTAACATGCTAAAAGTATTTGATTTACACTCAAAATCATAAAAACAATTCAGTTCTTGCAAGCCTGGATTTTTTATATTACACGCTTCAATACTTTACCCATGCTATTGAAATATAAATTGTACCAAAATTCAGATTTTTTCCCCACAACCAATTGCATAATTTTAGGAACAGTAAATAAAAACACAAATGACTTATAAGACAATAGTTTCTATTTAATATTTTTACAAAAAAATAAAGGACATGCTCTCTGAAAAAAATATTTACATAAACTTTTACCATAAATATTTCAACATTTTAAATTAAGAAAACAAAATCAAATTTTGAATTGGATAGCTTATAAACATGATGTATTATTTATATAACAGAGTGTACTGCAATAAAGTGTTAACATTATTCTTGAGTTTTGAGTATAAGGAACTTTTCTGGCTTAGCCACTAAAAAATAAAAAAATATATTTTCAGAACTCTATTATGAAAGCAGGTAAGTTACTTATGTTAGAAATAATATTGATAGGATATTAAAAATAAAAAGTAACCTGTTACAAATAGTTGAACAATAGCTAAGGGGTATAATCAGAGTCAAGTCACCAACTACATTTAAAAATAAATACAAATTAACAAAGCTTGGTTATATTAATTATCATCAAAGTAAAACATACTAATAATATAAATCAGGGGTCTCCAAACTACAGCTCGCGTCCAATATGTCTCTATCTAAAACAAAATTGTATGGCCAACCATTTAAAAATAAAAAAAATTAAATGTCTGTTTGATGGTAGTTGTTGAGGTAGCAATTTTATTTGATACAAAATTATTTGTTTGTAGTGGTTGTTTTGCACATTTTATTTTAGTGATGACTGATATCTCACTACAGAATAACTTTCAAGTATTATATGTTAGGTAGTATTTTCTGAATCATTTTACTATGCTTCCAGATTTTTTTATAAACCAACAGAAAATAAAAACTAACTAAAAACTAACAAAAAAAGAAAAACTAACCATCAAATTATTCCTACCAGTATCCGAAAAGGGAGTTTTGCACTTAAAACTCCCTTTTCAGATTGCAAGAGATAAAAACTTTTTCTTCGTCAAAGTGCTTAAAATGTTGACTTTGCAAATAGTTTTGCAAAAACTTCCAAAGGAGGACTCCCCTCTCCCTATTCCATACCCTCAAACCCATAGGTAATCATGGCTCAACTGGACTCCAAGATATTAAAATCTGGCCCTTGCGTGACAACGTTTGGAGACCCCTGATATAATTCATGTTCTAAAACGCATGAACAGTCCAAACACTAAGGACATTTTTTACTGTTTATCTTTATAAAGCACTAAAGGGCAATAAAATGTAAGGCACTAAGAAAAAACTCTTAACATTTTTTGATACAGGCACTTTTATCATTACTTTATTAGTGAACAAATTACTAGGTCAATAAAACCTTCTTTATTAATCTAGCTTTTAAGCGCAACAAGGATTCTTTTTTACCTGAATATTTAAATCGGCATATTTATAATTAAGTTACAGCGTTGTGGATTGGATTTGAAAATTAATATAAGTACCTATTGTAAAAGGACACAAATTAAAATAAATACATTTGCTAAAGGTAATTTAATCCATACCTTTTTGTGCAACATTCAAACAGCTATAAGTTTGTGCCTAAGAGATATGGGTGAAATACCCAATACATTTTTTATTATTGAAGTCTTCATATAAAATATCTTGAAAATTAAGTAATGCAGACAATGTTAGTGCTTACTTCACACTCTTGAGATTATTTTAGGAAATGTCAAAGGTTTGGATAGAGATTTTATTGAACTTGTAGTATAGTACAGCAATGTAAATTTTTAAATTTTATGGCATGTTTAAGGGAATGTCAAACATTACCTTGATCTAGAGGGCCTTATAATGTAGGTTATTCTGCAATACAGTAAATATTTTGTTAATCCAAATCACACAAAACATTAGACTTAGATAATGTACCCACAGACTTTGTACAACTGTCCATTCATTATAAAAAATAAAGTTTAAAAACATGAGTACCCTACATAAATTTACTTGTCTAAAATTATAATTTGTAAACACCAATCCATTATAAACATTTAAAGTGTATGTTATACCTTTTTTGTCAAAATTCCGTAAATAGGAATTTGGATTGAAAACATAAATAGTTCCCAAATATTTTCATTAAAGCACAAGTAAAATTGATTCTACAATGAAAATTCTTACCAAGTAACGCTGATTAACGGTACTCAACTGTATTATTTAAAAATAACTGAACCAAAAAGTCTATGAGCCAACGAGCTTCTAACTTGATTAGACTAAACTATTTTCTCTACTTCTATATGGGGAATATGATTGCATTAGGAACTAAATTCATACATTCAAATAAACAACATATTATAAACCTACTCAGGCACCCATCATAATCTTAAAACTGACACAGCCTTATACAATTTGTCAGAATTATCTACTTACTTGTAGGACTTTACTTAACTTGCAGCCTCTAATGCAAATGACTGGGGCTACCATGAAGTAGCAAAACCAATTTTTTTAGGGGGGAAAATGTAGATACAAACATAACAATTTATAGTAAAATGTTATTTTTTGTATTTAAGTACCATACATAATACGACTTCATTAACCACTGCTATATTAATATATACATTAACACACTGAGATGTATGAATTTTAACATACACTAGGCCTATACATGCATTTCTTAAACTTTTTGAAAAATATAGTTTTAAAGTATTTAATAAACTTGAAGCACAAATGTATTGAAGACAATTGTTGAACTCTAACTTTGTATCTTGAACTAACAATGTTTATAACTAACCTTGAAATAAACCGTTGCAAATGTGTAGGCAAAAGAATTTCAAAGCTATGATACATTTGATTTCAACAGTCCATGGTAGCCCAATATAAAGCTTAAAGACTTAAAACATCTATTATCACTGAAAAAAGATACTGTACAGAAAGTATATTGCCCACAATTATTGTAACATTTGAAGTTCGCTTTGATTACTTGTAAAACAGGAATGTGTTACTATTGACTAACTCATGTTCTGGTTTAGAAAAGTTGGTATTTACAATTGTTGGAGAAATTGATGACTTTGGGATGGAAGAGTAGATTGTTTTCTAAAACAGATAACTAATTCATAGAACCAGGACAAAATAGATAATGACATCAGCTAACTCTGACTTCAATGAGCATCAAACGTAATTCAAAATTACACAGCTGGGCGATAAAGATGAGGAATCTAATAGAGAGTACACTTAA